AATATTTACTATCAGACTGCTAGAAAAGTATTGGGAATATAATAAAGAAGTACACCAGATCTTCATAGATTTCAAAGAAGCATGTGATTCCATAGATCGCTTAAAACTGTGGAGTGCAATGATGGAGTTAGGCGTACCAAACAAACTGACCATGATTGCGCGAATGTGTGTCAACAATTCCTTTGCACAAATTAGAATAGGAGGCAAAACTTCAAAGGCTTTCGGCATAAGCACCGGGCTCAGACAGGGAGACCCGCTGTCCCCATTACTATTTAACCTAACATTGGAATACGCAATGCGAAAAATCTATACCAGAGTCAAACCAGACATAACTGCCAGAGGAGCAAAGATTATTCTCGCATTTGCAGATGATGCACAGACAACACTGGAAGCTAAGGATATAGTATCGAACTTTGAAGAAGCAACACTAAGCGTAGGCCTGAAAATAAACGAAGAAAAAACTAAATAATTGGTCGTATCAAAAAAGGAACGACAGCGAATAAGACAAAACATTACCATAAACGATCATAATTTTGAGGTGGTCAAAGAATTCAAATACCTAGGAGCAACAATTACCAGTGAAAACACAGGAGAACTTGAGGTTGAAATACGAATACTGGCGGGGAATAAATCATTCTTTGCCATTCAACATCTAATGAGGTCAAAGCTTCTCTCAAGGCGTGACAAAATCCAAATGTACAAAACCATAATACGACCAGCAGTGACATATGGAAGTGAAACATGGACATTGAGAAAGAAAGAAATCAATAAGCTATTAGTATGGGAACGCAAAATCCCGCGAATTATATATGGTCCTTGCAGGGACAGCGTGACAAATGAATGGAGGAGCAGATACAACAATGAAATAGAGACTCTCTTCGGGAAAGGAAACATCGTAAGATACATAAAACCCAATAGATTAAGATGGGCAGGCCACGTGGTACGGAGTGATGACGACAGACTGATTAGCAATGTGTTATGGGAAAGACCAGATGGTAGAAGATCGACAGGAAGGCCTAGAAAAAGGTGGAAAGACGCAGTCAGGGAAGACCTGGAGAAGATGGAAGTAAGGCCATGGGAAATAATAGCACAGGATCGGAATCAATGGAAGACAATAGTAAACGCGGCAAAAACTCACGAAGAGTTGTAAAAGCCAATGATGATGATGATGTCTCTAGTAACATCTTTATTAGCGTCTGTTTTGCCTTGCAATTCTTAGAAGGCACAGATTAAAGCAAAAATCTGAATTTAGTTTCGAAAATTAGTTTACTGATTTTAAAATAAATCAATATATTAATTTGCATTTTTACAAATACCAGTAATAACTTACCATTTTTATAAAGCAATGTACAGTTTTCTAGAATTTGTAGAGTTCTTTTACTCATAATTTAATATTTATTTTTCAATAATATTATATCCTAGCAAGAAATACAAAACATCACACAACAGCCTGGTTCTTCTTCTTCTTTTTGGCTTTTATTCTACTGAATAATCAGCCAATACATTTGTTTTGTTAATTTTTGGAGCACTGTCGAGAGTCTGAGATTATTATATCACATGCCCTATTATCAATTATCACATTATCAGTAACCACAGGCTGGTAAATTTTTTGAGGTTAGCAAAACAACTGTCACAACAACTTAGAGTCAATGTCCACGAAAATAAACGGCCAATTTCCAGGAAGACATTGGCCTTTTTAAAATAATAATTAAAAGACCAAACTCTAGTTAAATTTACATTTGATTTTCTTTATTTTAAGAGTATTGTAACTACGTATTTTTATTAGACTTGTTAACGTGTCTTTTTAATGTGTTTTTTTTTAAGTTTTAATTTTAAGCCTTACAAAAAAATATAGTCGTTTTTACAGTTTTTAGTTTCATTCACCTAATGAATAAAGCTATAAGTTTCATTCCATATGCATTGTAAGATTTAGGTGCACGTTTTTCATGTTTTGTTAACACTAGGGTTTAAAACCAATGTAGCAGACAAAATATAACAACTTGACAACAGCGCAAAGACCGGGCTATCGCCCGACTGTGGCTGGGGATCTTTATCGTTCTAAATCTCTTCCAATATTAATTTTTGCATTTTCTTTTACAGTCACATAAAAATCACCTAATTTTCGTAATACAGATCTGAGGAAGGCGGAGAAAGCACTAAACGGCAGCCGATTAAAATATTTCTGACCCTATACGCGTATATGTAGTTATTTACTAGGGCTATCGCTTCTCGTTTTATAGAGTTTAGTTAAAAAAAATATGACAAGAGATCAGTAACTGATAAAAAAGGCAGTGTGTTAGGACTTTAGAAGTAGCAATTTTAGGTCATATTAATTTTCACTCATTTTAATTTGATTTTTCACGCACTACTGTCCGCAGAGTACGAAAAAATCAGAAATTTCATCTCTACAACCTACACTTTGTATATTAAATAAATAAAGATAATTCAAAACGGCGACTATACTTTTGTGAGGTTATGACTAAGAAAATAAATAGTTATCTAAACTTCTACTAAATGTGTCTGTTTAGAATTAAACTTAAGAGGCCGCTGGTTAAATGATATTGGATAATATTTTTGGTTCTATTGATGTATTCTTAACAGGAATGAAGAGTTGGTCGCGGTACCGATGCTAGCGTCGCCGAGGCTAAGCACGAGAACCGTCCAAACTAGGTCCGTGTCGGTCACTGTCTTACGAAGAAGTGCATGTCTTGAGAGTCTTGAGATCGCCACTAGGGCAAAAACCACCCTCTAACCGTTGTGTGGTCAACATCTCGTAGGCCAGGGCATGCCATAAATCAACCCTATTGTCGGACGATTTTGAATGGCGATAATTTAAAGTTATTTAAAGTATTGTTACGGTAATACGAAACCTTACACTTGTTTCAATTTTTGTGACACATAATACAAAGGAAAAAGCCAAATTCTGCGTACTTCAACATAATAAATGAGATTTAAAAGCCAGTTTAAGTTTTACGAAATAACAGAAAATAATATATTTTAAAAAGGTTAACGACCCCTCTGTGGCTTAGTGGTAGGAGCGCCTACCTTTAAACCTAAAGGTCGTGAGTTCGAATCTCACCTATGTTGAGAAATTTTCGTTTATTAAAAATTAATGAATGAAAATAATTTCTATTCTTGTGCGATCGGTACTCACCAGAGGGACCGCAGACGTTCGGATACAATTAGGATCTCTTAGCAAAGACAATGACGTCGACTTTGCTAAGTATCAAGACAATTACTCTACACACACACACACACTACACTAGGTACCTGACTGTAAAAATTCACTGTACCATGCCAATGGCCATTAGTTGTCGACGCATTAAACTGAATAAAAAAAGGTCGTTAGAATATAGCATTAAATTAGATCACATTACAGTACCGTAACAGAAAAATATTAAATGTAAAAATATGAAAAGAATTCATACATACTTTCCCAAACAGTGCCTCTAAATCGATACAATTGCCATTATTGGGCAGATAAAATAAGAGTTTTGCACGAAACACATACTCAATAGACATTGAAATGAAACAAGTGGGCAGAAATTTATAGAAAAGCATATCTAGAGTTATTATAGGATAGAATTGATCCCATTTTAATAGATATAATCGAAAATAATAAAAGTTACTAAGAAAATGATTTGCATGACAAGCATAATCGTTAGACGATACCTTAATAAACGGTTTTCTAAGCAATGGATTTAACGGAGGGGATACCAGCAGGATCCCTTTATTTAACTCCCTTGGAGTTCTACCCATGGGGTTATTTAAAAAGCGAGAATTGTAATAGAATTTTACCATTCCTTTTCATTGAAGGAGCTGAGACGACGAATACTGCATGAATCTAGTCTAGTAACAACCAAAATTCTTTAAAATTTTCGTTGTAATTTCGAACACCGACTTTTTACGTTTAGTTAAATAATTATTTACGTTACATTTAATAAAGTTTTCTACTAATGTTTTACTGCTATTTCATTTTCATGTAGTTTTTGACATAGCAGGAAAAAATTGAAATTAAGACTCTCAAAACATAGTCGTTACGTTTGGTTTTTAAAAGGTGTAACGGTTTTAAGAAATTTATACTTTTTCAATAGCGTTAATATGAAAAAAAAATCATAGATGTCTAATTTTTTCAGCGAAATACCTGACTAATGATATACAGCGGGTATTGTATGGCCTATTCAAAATTAAACATTTGTGGTATTGGTAGGGAAGGAGTTCACAAATGACAGATATTTATATTTTAAAAGATATCCCTTTTGAAATAAAAATGTCATTGTTTCAGCATTTTTACAAAATCCAATAAATATTGCCAAATATCCGGTGGGCTCTTTTAAGTGATTAACCCGGTATATATATTCCCGCTATTGAACAATTTTTGGATATTTTATCGCCTCGCTTTACATCTTACTTTGTTGTATGTTTTTTACCTTTTATTATTTATATACCAATAATATTATTTTTAAAGCCTATATTCCAAATAAAGATTCTAAAAATAGGAAACTAATGCTAAGGAGAATCTAAAATAATAAAAACATATGTAAAATATAATATTAATTATTATATAATTTAAACATAATATATTATCAATTAAAGAATAAAATATAATAAATAAAAATAAAACTAATTTATAATAAAATATTAAAAATACATACACAATAAATAGATAATTACATTATGCATGTCGGCATGAAAATTTCTGTAACGGTTGGCTAACATGTTTTTCTTTACATATTTTATACTATTTTTTTGAAAGCTTAATTGCTCTAATATATTTATTTAAGAATTGCTGAGCTACATGTTCAACATCTTTATTAGTGCTCGTGCATTCAAGCTTAAGCTTTCAAAGAAAATAGTGCAACCCGACAGTCTAAACAGCATTTCCATATCTAGAGGCTATCTTACTATCTCTCTGAAAAAATCTATAAAGATATCTGAAGACTATCTCTGCTATTAGCAATAGTATAATAAATACAAAATTTAATATATCTAATTTTTAGATAAATCAGTGTCGTTTGAGAAATCTGTTTCGTTCAGTGATGAGCCCCCAGATATGAATTCTCCGAAACAGCACAGTCCGCAACATGCAGGTAAGTTTTTCAATTAAACAGAATGCACATCCCGAATTATAATAAAGCAGTATAATAATAATGTAATAAACTAAAACATATTTATTTACTTTTATATGTAAATATTTAAATTGTTTTATTCAAATATACGTTTTTGCATGCACAATTTTGGCATGAGAACTTACAATATATTTTGAGGTGGCAAACTTTGTAAATTAATGAAAAGTACATTTTTTACAAGAACAATACAATATAAATTGTATTTTTAGGTTTACCAATATATATATATACGCTCCCAAAGAAGCTGAAGGTATTTTCTCTTAAATATCCATTTTGTGTGGGGGATCACTTTGTGATGTGTTTGAGTTTACAGTTTCTGGTATGACTTTGCTGTTTCTACTACCTTTTTCCATTCTTTTCTCTCTTTATTATCTTTATTATCTTCATTGCCCTTTCTACCCTTTCTATATTTCTAATTTTCATACGCCTTAAGTATTTTTCCACTTGTCTCCATCTCAGTTTAGGTCTGCCCTTGGGTTTTTTACCTGGCAGTATCCATTCTGGTATAACTCTTAACGGATTATTCTTCTCTTTTGTCATGTATCCTTACCATCTAATTCTTTTTGCTTTAATTGCTCTAACTATGTTCTCGCGACCCATCTATTCTTGTATTTCGTGATTCATCTATTGTCTTGCATCCTCTTCTTTTTCCCTCTTTGGTCCCAGTATTTTTCTGATAATCTTCCTCTCAAAAACTTGCAATTGCTCTTTTTCTCTAGATGTTAATATAAATGTTTTTGTAGTATATACTACTATGGGTCTTATGGTGGTTTTGTAGATTTTTGTTTTTGTGTTTCGGCTTATCTCCTTATCTTTAAATTTTTTAAAAAAAATTTTTTAAATTTCTATACAACGCTGTATTTCTCGCTTGGATTCTTCTTTTTATATCTACACTTTTATTTTTTCTGTAGACTAGTACTCCCAAATATTTGAATATTTTAATCTTTTCGAAACTATGTGCATCTATTGTGAGTTCTCTCATTTGTGTCTTCGTTTTCTTGCTCACTTTCATGTATTTTGTTTTATTTTCAATTATTTCTAGTCCTCTTAGTTTGGCTTCGTTTTCTTTTTTTGGAAGGTTTTTCTTTAATGTCTTTTATCTGTTGCGACTATGGTTATATCGTCTGCATATTCTATTATTTTTACTTCGTTTTTTGTTTATAGTTCCTGCGTTTGACAGCTTTTTTATCATCTTGTCTAGGAATAGAATAAATAGTACCGTTGAGAGCGCATCTCCTTGTCTTACTACCTTTTTTATTTTTATTTTTATGTTTACCAATAATATGTTCAAATTATAATGGTTAGTAACCCTTATTTCTTATTTTTGTATGACCCAAGACTGAACTTCTATGGTCTCGTGGTATAGAAATAGTTCTTTCCAACCACCAACCACTCCACTCCCCATGCTTCACGATTTTGTTCCGTCGTAAGCCGAGGTTTTTGTCGTCATTATTGACTTCTGAAATATTTATTCTCAGATTATGGAACTCTGTGCCAACTTATACAAATGTAGTGAATGCGTATTATATATTCTTGAAGTCACTTGTTAATCTCCAAAAAGTGTTTACGATCGACAGTCTCGCAGTCATGCAAGTTTTGTTTGACTGTTTCAAGTTCTCGGCTGCAGAGTCTGCACAATAAGTCTCGATGAAAGACTCCCTATGTATGTAGGTGTCCATTGACTGGCGCATGTCCTCAATAACACTGAGCTGATTTTTGCTTATTTTACAAAGTACTTTTTACTCTATTTGCACATGTTCGTCCAACATTCATTTTTTCATAAAATTGATAGGGTATATTATCCTGTTACCTTCGGATTCAGGTTTTTATGGACCTTGGAATATTTGGCACTTACACGATCAAGTATGGATCAAAGTATTTTGTACCTGGTGCTCTTCTGATAAGTTTGTCAGATCTTGCTGTTGTATATTGCCTGATGACCTTAAACTTATACCACAATATGATACTTATGTTTCGCCAGTTTGTAAAGATCTTCACGGCGTTTCCTCACTAGTCTAAAGTTTACTTAGGGCTTATAAATGTCCTAATGGCTGCTTGGCTATCAAGACGTATATTGATTCGCTTTTATTTGAAAGCCTTCATGTTAACTTTTCTGGAACCTAAGGAGGTTTATTCTCCCAGTGAAATAGAAATGTCTAAATTCTCACCATAAACGAATATTCGTGCACCCGACTGTTCTGCAGTTTTAGACCCTACTGTGTACCAGGTACGAGCCTGTAATCTAGCTCCAGTGTTATTTCCTGTGTGTGTGTGTGGAATTTCGGGGTAATAGATTTCTTAAAGTCTTACTTCTTTCATTATTTCTATTTTATTATGTTTTATTTTATTATTTTTTTGATATTGTTCTATATATATATATCGTTTTATCATTTCAGCTTTGTAATTACACAAGATTATTGATCTCCAAGAACGAAGCAGTTTTCAAAATAAACGTTTCTGTTTAAATATAAAATAAAACAAAATCCTTTTCTTGACCAAAACGTAAAATAAAGTAGTACCAATTTTATAATGATGATTACGTATTTCATTGGATTTTATTGATTTATTTCTAATATTATTCACGTCTCAATATTATTGTTATTGTTACTATTTCTATTAGTATTGTTGTTATATTCTAGAACAGAATATTTTGTTGAATTGACACTGATCTAAAGACATCTCTAGATGTTGGGTTGTAAAATTCTGTAGTCTATAGGAAAAACAATTTTTTATTGATTTTTAGTAATTAAGCGTGTTAGTTTCAAACATGGAAGACTAGTTTTTCGTACATTTCTTGGTGTTTATCCATTTAGAAGTTGTTTTTATTTTAATAGAAATAAAGCTTTAAAACGATTCGATGAAATGTCACTCGTTATTATTTAAATATTTTGTTTGAGATTGCAAAAAACTAAACCACTAAACGTCAGACTACTTTCTAAGTGGTCTTTTGCTCATTATTTTATACTTAATTTATCGCTTTGTTGTAGTTAGTTGTTGTTAGTTTATCTAATAAACATATAATGATAGTTATATATTTAAATTCTAAATTAATAGAGAAAAGAAAAAAACTGACAAGAAAGCCAAAAATTCTGGATGATGCATATATGTTTTATATTTTTGAATTTTGTATTTTGATTGTTATTTACTTACTTAAGAAAATAAGCATAAAAATAAAATATTATCCACGTTTTTAAGGTTATAGCTTTTGCCTCTTATCTGTACTGATAGAAACTTTTATGGTTTTGTTTTATTTAAATATTGTTTATTTTTAAAATATACGATTGTCTATTAAATTTGTTCTCGCGAAGGAAGAAAATGTTTTCACCGTATTCGTACTAAATTGCTTCTTTAGTAGCAAAGTAGCCTGTTGACTGTAAGTTGAGTAGTCGCAGCACTCAATGTCCAAAACTAATAGCTGGGGAGGGGTTTACGCACACAAGTCTTAAATGTACATTGTATCCAGAGGTGCAGACAGTACAAACTTGGGCTCCAGGTAAGAGGTTCATAACGAAGCATCAGGCCCAGATATGATAACAGCATAAATACTCAAAACCACAGAATAGACCGGAATATAATTGCTTCACTTGCTCTGCAACAAAATCTGGCATTCCAAACAATGGCCTGATGACTGAAGAAAATCTACAATAACGACAATGTATACAAAAAGGTAGCTTCTATAAATGCGCGAACTATAGAATATCTCTTACATGCAATTAAGATAATGCTACACATAATCAAAGAAAGACTAAAAACTTTTCTACAAAGAGATATACGCTAAGAGCAAACTGTATTTACCAATGGTAAAGGTACTCGAGAACACCTTCTGAATATAAGACAAACAATAGAAAAATCTAGTCAACTCAATATTCCACTATACATTTGTTTTATACATTATCTTAAGGGGTTCGAGGGGATAAAATGGCAACATTTATGGTAGATAGTAAAAAGCGTATCAGAACACTTAATTTTGTTTATAACTGAACTATACAAACTTACTACTAAGACAGTTAAAGTACTTGACACACTCTCAAACGAATTTTATCCAGAACAAGATATCGGACAAGGATGTATACTATCTCCACAATTATTTAATATGTATAGGGACCATATTATGACAACAGTGCTTGAAGTATGAAAAAATGACAATTCAATAAATGGCCAAAAAATATGACATAGTATGTAATATGACAGATCACATAGTTCATCTTGCAAATAGCCAAGAAGAGGTTATTGATCTCATACAATTAACTGGTTGAAAATTAAAGTAAAATATTTCGACGGCAGTTAAACATAGCAAAGACAAGAGTTGTAATAGCAAATACACTACATAACTATCATCAACACGTGACCACGATTTGTGGTTTGAAGTTGTGAGCTTATATTTACATCTGAGATCATTGATCACAAACACAGGGTCACTACACGAAGATATGAAACGTAGATGTGATCTAACAAAAGATCTAAAGATGGTAGGACCCTCAAATGTTACCAACGCTAAAATTAAGGTAGATCAACTGCTTAATAATCCCAATACTGACATACTTATGTGAATCTTGGATCCAGCGATGAGCGAAAAGCAGAAAAATAGACGTCATCGAAATGTTCTGTTAAAGCAGAATATTACAAATTTTGTAGACCGACCATCAGCCAATAAGCAAATAATTCAATTTTAAATAAATTAAAGGTCAACAAACGGCTCTCCGACAAAGTCGACCTCCAATAATTCAAATATATAGGATAGGTTATGAGAGTAGACACAAAAACATGGAAAGACCTATTATCAAACGAAAGGTAAAAGGCCGAAGATCACGAGAAAGATTCCCAACAAGATGGATGGACCAAATTACCGAAATATGTAAATTATCTATGCAAGAGTTAAAAGAAATTACCAAAAACACATATCTTTCGAGACGGACAATGTAGGACATCACGATGACGATTATGCTTCCTCCGGGGGTTAA